GCACGCATATAACGTGGGCAATATACACTGGCCAGTTAAGACAATTTATACGGATGGCTGTGATAATCGTCATTCCGTGGATTTTCATCCTCTTCAAAATGTTCAAATCAGATAAGCACGGTTGCGAAATAAGTTATATTATGTTACATTTTGGATTACTAAAGCGCCTTTCGCCAAGGCGCTGCATACATTCATCATATTTTGACCTTAGCGTAATTTAATTAACGTTATTATCGAGATAAAAGCGCAGTCCTTTAGCATTAAAAAAAAACATCAAATGCCATTACTTGCGTCACTGATTAGGAGCATCGATCGATGTTTCTAATCGTTTCCCACGAAACGTCATGCGATGTTGACCTTTAGGCTGCGTGACCTTACCTCGTGAGAGACGAATCAATCAACCTCCGCGCCGTAACGCATGAGGGTTCCCAAATGAGAAGAAGTAAGAGTGTTATTATTGTTCTACTTAAAGCGCAAACTCGTCTGTCTATATTCGTGGCAAATACGATCGATACATATCTAAAGATAAAATAAATTAAATAATAACATACGACGTTTCGAATGCAACACAAGCGATCATCATCAGGTATAAATGAAATAGCAACAACAATTTTAACCAGAAAACTATAGATAGACATATAAGCAGACAGATATCACCAGGATACATAGAGAGAGAGTAACACAGGCACAGAGAGGAGGATTGTCTCTGTAGCGAGGCCTTAAATAGACAGAGGGGGCAGTGTCAGAGAGAGTTGGAGGGGTTAGAGAACAAATTAACATGTCAATGTCTGCTTATATGTCTGTCTATAGTTTTCTGGTTAAAATGTTTGTGGCTATTTCATTTATACCTGATGACGATTGCTTGTGTTGCAATCGAAACGTCGTATGTTGTTATTTAGTTTATTATTTTATCTTTAGACGTGACTTTACCGAAAGAACCATAGAGTAATTCCTGCAGTCACGAAAGCTCCAAATTCAAGAACCATCGATACAGCCTTTCTGAAACTCGTATTCGCTTCAAATCAGTCACGATCGTCCGATTAGCACTCCACAATTTTCCGTGTGCGGCGATGTGATTTTCGAGTAAGAGTTGAATATTAAACTCCACGCGCTTGTGTTCAGGCCGTGACTCAACCCGCCGCTTGTCATCCCTGCACTCACGTAGCGATTTCCGCACGCATCGACGTAGCAGGAATCTGGAGGAACACGCCGTTTTAAATCGCCGCGCCATGCAGTGACGCTCATCGCCGCTGCGAGAATGTCAAGAGACACAGGCACCTCAGTGCGTCACGCCTCCCACGTGTGCGTTCCTGCGTTGTAACAATATAGCCCGACAGACGGTGGGTGCACGCGCACCACGTGGGTGCACGATCGGTGGCGCAGTGGTGAGCGCGTTGCGCTATGAAACCCGGCAAACCACCGGGGTGCCATCGTGAGGAGCGGTCAACATATCAGAACCTCGCTACCTAACACCAACCCTCACTGACCAGCGTGGTGAAGTATGATCAGGATCTCCCCCTCCACCCATAAAGCAGGTCATCCACCTTTTCAACAGCGCGCGCGTGGGTACAAATGGATCATAGTAACCCAACCGCGTCCCGTGTGCTCGGTTATGCAATAGTTTATTCGATCGCCATAAAATATTAACCGCAGCAAATTACACGTCCATTTGCTCGTATGTATACCCATCCATCATGCACAGACGCTTGGGTCAACCCAATATCTTGCCCATAACAACACCACGAATCAATTGGCAAGTAGATCCTTCATATATTGCCCGTCTGTTATTGCACTCAAGCAGAGGTGTGGACTCGAGTCATGTGACTTGGACTCGAGTCAGACTCGAGTCATGAATTTGATGACTTCAGACTCGACTTGGACTTGCATAACAATGACTTTGTCCCACCTCTGAGGTGTGGACTCGAGTCATGTGACTTGGACTCGAGTCAGACTCGAGTCATGAATTTGATGACTTCAGACTCGACTTGGACTTGCATAACAATGACTTTGTCCCACCTCTGCACTCAAGTATGCGCTGTGTATTCTGCGACGCTAAATAACCACTGTGACTGCGAGGATGATATTAACCCTCTCACGCAAATCACGTTAAACATTTTCAACCAATATCTGCGGTGTAACTGCCGAAAGAACATTTACACCAAAAATAAAAAACCCCAACACGTTCGTCAATAATACCGTGGACGTAAAAAAACCCCCACAAACAATAATAATAGGTGACGTTTCAGGCAATGGTCCTTCTTTATTGATTTAGGTTCCCATGAAAAACGGCCATTACCCAAATCATCGCCGATTACGTACATTTGAATTCAAAGACAGTGTTATTGACGAATGTATGGATATGTGTTTATTTGTTTAATTGTGCTTGTGCACCACTGTCAATGCAACAGCAGCATCACCACAATAAAAACAATTACACGAATAATTCACCGTAATAATAGTAATAATCGATGGATGAAAGGGTTAAGTTCGCGTGTGTAGATTATTCTTTATTGCCATATACACGTATGCCCGTGCCTCCCGTTTGATATAAAACATATATACACAACAAACAACGATGTATTGCAGTCACAATCATTCGTGCGTCAGTTGATTGCAGCTCGCTTTGCATACGAGGCTCTTGATAAGCCCGAACGACCCGGACAGCTGGACTTTGGCACCCTGCTTGGCAGGAAGTTTATTAAGAAAGAGATGTCCCGAGTCAAAGATAGGCTTTGCAGTAGAGGGAAATAGCCACAGTCGCCGTTCACGATATCAAAACAAAAACCGTCTGGCACAGCTGTGCACAGTTCTTAGAGCTGCGCGAAAAAATAACTCGAACAAGGCACGCGTGTTGCATTGGCACAAATCGTCACCGAGACACGCGTTTGACGATGCGCTTGCAGTGTTCGTCCTTGCGTGTTCAGCAGGCAACCTGGGTTTCTCTGTTCCCGGCCACGCACAGTACCGGCGGCACGCGGTACCTGAACTTTTCCTGGGCGTGCACCTAGCCTGGCACAGCAAGGGCCGTGGTGACGTCACTGCCAATTTCCGGGCGAATTGCGGCGGTTGTTGTTGTTGTCGCTCTGGGCCGTCCCCCTTGGTCAACAACGCCTTTACATAAAGTACCCGGGGTGTGGTGAAGAAACAGGTGCGAGAGACAGACGTGGCCGAGGTGATGTATGTACGTTGAACTTCTATTGCGTATGCAATGTCACACCCCGATAGATGTTCGCTAACGGTACAAGAGTTCCTACAGTCCTACACGACCACTTGGGGAATGTGTGTGTGTGTGTCTCGCTGTGTAGGTCGACTCAATCTCAAATGAGTACCTGGTGCGGTGTGTAAACATCGCCACTGGGGAGACAAACGAGGCCCTTGCGTGGTGATGATTACCCACCACCTCGTGTGCCGAACCCGGCGACCCAAGCTCGATTCCAGCTTACGGCCAAAACCATTGACGATTATCTGAATTTGTCCATGGGCCTCCCCGAGGTCGACTCAGCCTCAAATGAGTGCCTGGTACGGTGTATAAAGATCGCCACGTGTACCGTGCTGGCCTCCAAATGTGCTCGCTAAGAGCATTTGCACAGTCTGTTAAGGCTGTCGGGGAATCTTCGTGTTTGCGTGTAAATATGGCATTTTGGTTTGCATAGTTACAGCACAAAGTACTCAACTCGCAAGTTCAATCTATACGAGTGATCTGCGTCTGTGTATGTGTGTATGTATGCATGCGTAAATATGTTATTATTTTAAATGCAAACTGTTCAAATTCCCAATCGAGATCCACATACGCACACGTTTGATGTCAACACCGACCTCGCATTGGGTCCACGGCCCAGCCAAGGACATGTATCGTGATGACTGTTGTCCATTCGAGAAATCATGCAACTGTTTCCATTATTGAGCAAGGCACTTGTTTTTTTGTTTGTTAGCAATGCAGTACTGCATGTTAGCACTGTCACCAATCATCCGTCGCTGCTGTTCTTGTTATTATTGTTGACATGTGGCACGCAGGCATATCCGACGTTAAGATTGTCAAGGCAAGTGGAAACTTGTTATGGCACTGTGATGATACACACAACACACTCATTAGACCGATCGTGACTACCCACTTTACCCGATCTAAACAGTTTAACATTCATTTGTATCTGCTTTTAATATTTCACAATGTTTGCCAAAGAATTAACATTAAAAAATGTGTATTGGCGATGTATATATATGTAGCACAGTAAAACAAAATGTAAGTTAATTTGTCTTAACAGGGCGTGCAGGTACACAGTACTCACAATGCCACTTCACAATTATAACTCCATGACGGCATCTGATCGACAAGATTTGAGTCAACAAAAATATACAGTAGAAAAAAAAATCAATCAACGATGCATTGAAGCCTCTCGTTCCATAATTGTAAGGCCTTTCAAAAAAAAAAGCACGAGAGATCACAGTTCCCGAAGTCAAAATTGCGAGCTCTTCTTTGACACATCGTCCTTGTCATCAGCGGCGTTCTCCCATAAGCGCCTTTTGCATATAAACACAGAACTTGGAAACATTCCTTGGAACTGCTTGTTTAGCTTCTATTTTTTGTAAAAATATATATAATTAGTATAAAAAGGTAGCATTTAGCTGTAAGACGCTTTCGGTGGCTGAGTGCACATTTTTTCTGCTTATGCACGCTGGCTCTGCGCCAGGGTGCCTATGGCTTGCGATGAAGCACTGATGGATGGCTTTTGAGTCCACGAGTGAGCACTCGGAAACCGGCGAGCGGTAAGGCACATTGCATTGTAGAGGTCTACCATGGACGCAAATCTTCCTCCGTCTGGCACCGTCCATGAATGTAACGTCTTGGATTCTTCTTCGTCGTCATCATCATCATCCTTCCCGATGAAGAAAGTGGCGAGGCCCCTCTCTGACAACGGGGCACTGCGGGAGAACGCACGCACCCACGTACCTCCAACTTCTTCCGCACCGTGCTCTTTGCTTCGAGCGGGGAGCGCACAAACAGCCGCGTCGCACGGCGGGCGCCAATGCGGGCTTGGCCTGATCGTTGTTGCGTTGTGAAGATGTTAGGAGCCACGCGAGCTGGTGGGGGGTGGGGGGGTGGTGGGGGCATGCCAGGCTGCTGTCTGCATCCTTCTTCAGAAGACGTCTCGCAGGCTGTGCGTGAGACTGTGCCGCCGCAGGTCGCAGTTGCGTCGAAACACCTTTCCGCAGTGCTCGCAGTTGTAGGGTTTGATGTCCGTGTGTGTCAGAAGGTGAGTCTTCAGGTTGCTGCGCTGGTTGAACGTCCTCGCACACGTGGGGCACTTGTGTGGCGATTCCTGCGGGGGATTGCGCATGCGCACACCGCCACAATGATCAAAGACAAAGATCCCCCCCAGTCGTATGGCCTGAACAGACTATTGGGGCAAGTGCTGTTAGCGAGCACTTGTGAAGGCCGGCACAGCACACGAGGGGGTAGGTGGCCAAAACCACCCCCGGCCGCCTTTGTCTCCCCAGTGGTGACATTTACAAACCACACAAGGTACTCATTTGAGGCTGAGTCGATCTAGGGGAAGCCCATGACCGGTTCAAATAAATCGAACTCGGGCAGCTAATCGCTACACTGCCGCTCCCCACGCAACGCGCGCACACACGCGCGCACACACACACACAAGCGCGCACACGCACACACGCGCACACGCACACACACGCACACACGCGCACACACACACGCGCACACGCACATTCTCACACACACGCGCACGCACGCGCACACACACGCGCACACGCACGCGCACACACACGCGCACACGCAAACGCACGTACAGACACGCGCAGGACGCGCACGCACGTGCACAAGCGCATGCAGACGCACACACACTCGCAACACACCACCCGCACGTGCAAACAAAAGGACAACACGTCAGTCAATTGCTGTCCAGATGTACTGTGCTCTTAAATGAGCGCGCGTTTACGTGTGTAATTGTGGTGTCAGTATTTAGCAAAGCGTGCGCAAACGTTAATTCGCACTAACGTCCGCGAGGCTAAACACGAGATACGTGTCTGTGTGTCGTTGCAGGCCTTAATAGGTGCTCAATAATTGTACTCACTCCAGCAGTCTAAACGTGGGATCTTTAGTTTTGTTCGATCGAGTCTGTGTAACTCCGCTCCCATTATTGTCGACTTGTGTTCTATTCCCGGCCATACAAAACTTTCGAAGCAAGTGGCACGTGACGCTGCACTGCCCTCCCCTAAGTTGGCTCAGCCTCAAATGAGTAACTGTTACGATGTGTTGACATCGTCAGTGCCGTGGCGTTCTTAATTCGGTGCTTTGCGCATGCCACTTGTTCAGTGTCAGATTCCCTATCGGCAAATCGTGCCTTTTTGTTTGTCACGTGAACAGCAAATATGTGCACAACGTGTGTCTCAAGTCGCTTGAACTAGTTAGCGTGTGTTTGATGTGGATGACAATGGTGCATGGGCTATGAGCATGCTATGATCGCGTAATAAAGGCAACTAGATCAACCCATAACGTAATCCACGGTGAAATGGTTTGTGGATGCGAAACCGGTTCAAAAACAGCTACTGTGTACGTATATGCACAGGTTATTGCAATGCACTCAACTCAACAATAAGCGCGTGTCTATGCTGTCGTGTTAATAATAGTAAATTAAACATCAAACGCACGACTGCTGTACGTACAATAATAGCCTCCACCTGCACTGCACAGCTGCATATTCATGTGAATGTATATAGCGCGAACGAAGCCTACGCTGAATTAAAGTTTCACAGTTGTGTTCTATCGGTAGCTACATTTAACACGAGCAAGAAAAAAAACCACGTTAACTGCGCGTGGCGGTACGTTTGCGAAACTTTTATTAACCAGATATTATATAAAGTCCCACACTATGTATATACTGGAAAGGCTATTCATGGGCAAGCAGTCACTTAGTGCTGGGCACAGTGCGGCTATTAACTCGGCGATTGAGGTTCAATTAACGGCTGTCAGCTGACATCAGGGGCGAGTAAAACCTGGACCGATCCTCCTCCTTCCCTCCTCCACTTCACCAACCCGCACTGACCAGCGTGGTGAAGTATGGGCAAACATCCCCACCCCATTACCAACGGAGCAGTAGATTGACAACGGAGTCTGACATTTAAGATTGTGTCTATCCAATGTCAAAGTTCAAAATAGAATGCGGTACGGTGCTGAAATCCATTGGTGGCTGGATAATGTGATGTAAAATTCCACATTCCCACGACGAGGATCAGTTTTATCACAAGAAATAATTATTTCCACACTGATAGCGTTCAACAAACTAGGATGTGCTTTATCGGCCTTGGAGAGTTGATGATGTGCTTGGTCGACAACCCACCGGTATTTTAACTCAAAGCCCCCGTCTATTGTGGTTCACCATCTAATATATAAGGTGTAAAAAATATATGCGAATTGAAGTTACATTATACGGATTTGTAATCACTTAGCCATTAAATGCAACTGGATCAGTGTAAATGTGGTTGTGTTCACGCATGGCGTTGCATCGCGATCGTTAGGCAAAGTGTGCAGCGTTTGGGAATGAATTCAATATGTGTTCGTGCAGATAAATGATTCGCAAGGCATAATAAACACATTTTTGTTTTTTTTTGTTGCAACAACTTACTGGGAAATCATATGACAGCGTCTTCCTTTAGTCTTTTACCTGCATGTGCAACGTTTTATGGACTGCCAGAGTCCGAGACTGGCAAAACCCCTTGCCACATTCTTGGCACTTGAAAGGCTTTTCTTTAGAATGTATGTACCTGTCAGTTGAAACAACAAGGGGGGATATTTATAAGGTGCTTGCTGGAGCAATTGCCGTAACTCATATCAATAATATATTTTATATAAATGTGTCCGTGCGTTAAAGTGTAAACAAGACACATTGATGCAATTTAAGCATGCAAAAAAACGTTGCAAATAACGAAGAGTGTATGGTGTGCCTAGGATTGCATCAACACAAGTGTACACGCGCACGGGCAGCACAATGAGACTATGAGTTGCGGCCGTTATGTCCGCAAATTTGCGCGCGTTATAAATTGCATTATTATTATTATCTCAACGCTATAACGCGGTTTAGAATGTACATTCTAGGAATGCACGATACGCAGTGATTCATGTCTGTACATATTGGCCAAAACGGAACGTGTCTCCCTGCTCAAACGAGGAACCGGTCAGCAACTCATATACGTTTCACGGCCCTAAGCCAGTGGCGGAGATATCCCCATTGCTGTGACGAGGGGTCAGTTTACTCCCGAGACGACCACGGTTTGACATCCGTCGCACACAGCGAGGTACCTGATTTATCGACCCCGGAAAAATTAGAGATCAATCAACTCTTGAACGGAGATCCGTTCTTGCAACCGTTACTGTTTCATTATTGCTAATATGTTGGGTCAGATTGGGTAAATAAAACGTGTGTCGTACACCCTCCTCCAGACGACACAGTCGATTCACAAAGTCGTCGCGTGCACGTGCCAATGCATTGCCGCTTCAGTACAGAGGAGCGCAAGCCACACACGTCTAACAATCGGCTACGACGTTTCACGTCTACGTCGTTTAAATTGAAGTGGACCGAGCGTTAACAACAACAACAGCAACAACAACAACAGCAGCAATTGCAAATCAGTGGTGGTGTTGGCGCACCTGTGGTCCCTGAGATGGTCTTGCCTCCTGAACGCCTTGTGGCAAATGTCGCACGTGTACGGCCTCTCGTCCGTGTGCGTCCGCTCGTGTATAAGGAGATTGTACGACTTGGTGAAGTGGCGGCCGCAGAATTTACAGATAAACTCCTTCCTCGTCTTCACGGGCAGGCGGCCTCGACTCGGCCTGGCTCTGCCGTCCCCAGCCGCGGCCGCGGGTGGGTACCCGTGGTCGCCCCCGCCGCGGCTCTGATCGGAGGCGCGCGGCACTCCTTTGCTCGGGAACGGGTCTTCCTGCGTGGCGGCGAGTGCCAGGTTCGCGAAGTCGAACCGGGGCCGCTCCTTCTTCACGCCGAGCGCCTTGCAGCCGTGGAACGCCTGGGGCGACAGCGGCATCCCCGGCAGCGGGAGGCGACACACATCGAGGAACCCGCCGGGCGACGGCGGGAGGTCGCCCCCGCGCAGAGCGGCGAGCTGCTGGTAGCCCAGCGTCCACTGGTTCACCTGCATGGCCTGCAGGGCGCTGAAGCTGCCGTAGAAGCCCTGCAGCTGGTCGAGCGCGCACGGGAAGGCGTTCACCGCCTGCATGAAGGAGTAGTTGGTGATCTGCAGCGACGGGTGGATGGGAATGGGCGCGGGCAGAGCTTTGCTGCCCATGGCTGGGCACGGTCCGAGCGGCGTGGGCGGCGGAGTGGGCAGCTGGCTGTAGCTGGCCCTGAACCCCGGATCTACGCACAGACGCACGTGTGGTGGTGGTGGTGGTGGTCTCGTTAGTTCAAGTCAACGATGGCAGGACGCGCACCCCCACCCATCCTGCACCCGCAACCCCCCCCCCTCGCACCCAGACCCCCATTGCTCAAGGCAGCTCCTACGCGAATCGTGGCCCTGGGCCAGCGAAGGAATTGTCACATTTCTACGGCGTGGAGGTCAACCGCTGTTGGAGCGCTCACAATTAGGTCCGTTATTTTATCGACCCCTCCTTGCAAGGCTGATGAGCTGAGACGACCCGCCGAATGGGATTCGAACTCGCAGGCTTGCAACTGTGAAGTCGAGCCTAACGCTAACAGCGCCACTCGGCCGGATTGACAGGTTAATGAAGCTACGCGACTGTCAGTTAAATGCACAACTAATGCTATACAAGGTAGGTCAAGTGGTACGTACACATCATTGCATACATAGTCTACCCTCCCCCCGTTTTAACGACACTAACCGTATGAGCAAGTGATGTTAGCGAGCACCTGTTTAAGGGCGACACGGCGGGCACATGGTGAGGTTCGTGTGGCCAAAATCGAGCGCACGCAATCGATGTTACCGTACCGCCAGTTTCCTCTCGTTTAATGCTCGGTGGCGAGAGGACTCTAACTCAGATCGCCGGGATCACAGGATATAACGAAGCACAACAACCGCCGTATCCGAACACACGGTGACGATCGTACACACCTGCGAACATAAATTATGTTAAATACCCATGACATACGCCACGTGATAGTTTTAAAGAGCGGAACTATCTCTATATATATCCCGATATATCATACTAAGTTATTTCCTCTCGCTTAGAGCAATGGTCATTAATTCATAATACATGAATGCGGTAATGTAGTTTATCATTTTTAGAACGTGCAATATACACACACACATAGCAAACTGACGATAATAGACGAACGTTGGTTTGTTTTCTCGGTCAAAAGGAATACATGTACAACACTTGCAAACACCAATATTAAATTAGGTTAGCAATTACACCACCTTTGTCTCGTGCTGGGTGATGTACACACAGCGAGTCATCCACCACCTGCGTTAACGGCAGAGTGGACAGAGGGGAGGCTCTGGGCAGGTGATTATGGTACCACTTGGCGCCAGTGATGCTCTGCCCCACGTGTAGGGAATTGAACCCAGATAACGGGGGTTCATATCGCCAAGCACTGGCAACTTCGGCAGTGCCCCTCCCTAATCCCTCCCCCATCCCTCCCCCTCCCTCCCTTCACACCCACGCACTCCATCTCACACAACAACAACAGCAGCAGTCAGTGACGTTCCCAAAGGGTCATCGCGGTTGCGTGTGCCAAGCTCGATGGTGCCCTCAAGGTGCACGTAGCCTGGGCACAAGCGCCGTGGTGGCGTCACCGCCCACTTAAGTGGCGGATGGCGATTGTCGCGGATGCAACTTTGAAGCTGCGTGGATTGTCGAAGGCTGGGTGGCAGGAGGTCACGGGATGGACCCCAGGTGTTATGGGTGCACAGACTGCGATGATTGTCAGATGCACAACGCGTGCTGCCGATTCTGCCCCCACACGTACAAAGATGACCCCAATAGTCGGCGTGAGGCTGTTGGGCCAAGCGCTGTTAGTGAGCATCTAACACACACACTCACGTACGCGTACGCCCTCTGACACAAAGATAAAGATCCCCCGTCTAGCCTTAACAGACTGTTGGGGAAAGTGCTGTTAGCGAGCACCTATGAAGGCCGGCACGGCACACGAGGGGGTGGGTGGCCAACACCACGCCCGGCCGCCTTTGTCTCCCTAGTGGCAATGCTCACACATCACAGCAGGTACTCATTTGAGGCTGAGTCGATCTAGGGGAGGCCCAGGACCAGTTCAAATAATCGTCACTGATATTTTTCGTGAGCGGGAATCGAACTCGAGTCACCAGGTTAGTAGCGCAGTGCGCTCACCGCTATGCCCTCTGACACACACACACGGGGACAGATGCACAACACTTGCACACATCACGCTGTGCTCCGTGTTGGACTGCAAGTAACCTACACAAGCGACCTACCCGAACCTTCCGATTAGCACAGTTGGCTACGTACGGTGCGAAAGAAGTTCAACATGCGTACGCATTTCATTATATTGCACACTCGCAATGGTGACAATCGGAGTCTCTTCGGAACCGGAATGACCGCAACAAAAAATAAGGGGCAATGACGCGGGTTGGCGAATCAAAGGCAATCGAGGAACACACGCAAAAAGGAAACTGCGTCGAGTTGAGCGTCTTCAAGGTGTTAAAGACAAGTCCTTGTGGCGCACGCAATGGGGTTACCACCTGCAACTCCATCAGCGTATTAGCGCTAATGTAAGACGTTAATTAGCCACTCGGTTTACATTAGAGCTGACTCTTTCCCGTCGTGGGACCGACTTCCTAAAGTAAAAAAAAAACACAAAGACGAGAATAAATATAAAATAAGCGGCATCGCGGACGCCATCTGGAAAATTTCACACTTCACACACAAGGCGAGCCGAGGGAGAGGGGGAGACGACCGAGCGCTCCCCTCTATCCCGGATCCCGGGAAGTCTTTGCGCGTCGATCCATCGCTGCCCTCTCATCCGTAAGAGCAACAAACAAGGCCAAGCGGGGGGGGGGGGGGCAAGGTACAGGAGGAGGTGGCGCTCCCTCCCGGTGGGGGGGTGGGGTGGGGTAGGAAGGGTAGGGGGGGCTACCTGGGAACCCCCCAACTCCACTCGCCTCGCCGGACACGGCTTAGTTGTAGCGTTGTGGCCGATTTTGATCGACGCGCCTGTGCAAACTTGTACGCGGCCTTGAGGTCTGAGCGCATTTTAAAGTAACGTAGCGAAGAAAAAAATATGTTTAAAAAAAATCTATCAGCAGGAAATAGTATAAGGTTAAAGTGTTTCCTGGGACATTAATCCAGCTGTCAGCCGGGAATTTTATTTTCCTAGTACAAATTTGCGTGAAAGCGTGTAAAACAATAAACCTTACATTCGTAACACAATTATACGTATTAACACGAAGCAACGGAGGAGAGGGCTTTTTTTGGAGCGAGATTAATTTGCGCTTCCATCGGTTCTGGGGTTCGCAAATAAGTGTTCAAAATATCCCTTCATTTTCTTTTTCCAACGCAAACGACATAGGAGTGATACATTGAAGTGAAACTCTTTCAACAACGATTGCTTGTGTTGCGACAGAAACGTCGCCTGATGACGATTGCTTGTGTTGCGATCGAAACGTCGTGATATTGTTATTATTTTTATTATTTTTTCTATCTACGTGGCTTTACCGAAAGACCCAAAGAATATGACTTCCTGCAGTCACGAATCTTTAAGTCAAGATTTAACAAAAATCTTCTCATTCAAATCGACCAAACGACGCTTTGCAAGAGCCTCAAGCTGCCCTTCTGCAAAAGCGGAATTAATTACGCCACCTTGGGAAACGGAAGGACGTCGATTGCGGTTGTGTGTGATATTGTATATTCATGTTTTGGCCCAAAGAGCAATCGAGCTCGTTGGGGTTGCCCCCATCGAGTGTAATTAATGACGCATTTGCCGACCGCCGCTCGGGGTCTTTGCTCATTTCGTCTCGCGATGTTTGCGTTAACTCCAACCCAAACATACCCGCGCCGTGACGTTCTGTTATGTTCTCCAAAAAAAAGAAAGGTAGTTAGGACCTGCGGAGACTTGTGTATGCGCCCTGATGAATATCAATGCGCTGCTCTGCTCCCGCAATGATTTGCTGGGCGCTATGCCCGCCGCGGCGCGCGCGAGCCACGTGTTTAAATTGTGTACGGCGTCAATAGTTTCTCTCTCTCGCTCGGATAAATAACGTTTTGCCCCCCCCCCCCATCTCCACCCCCCCCCCCTCCCTGCATGTTTTCGTGTACGAAGGCCGGCACCGATCGTAAGGTATTACCCGTGGCGGTGCGTGTTATATAATGAGCGGAGGCGTTAAAAATAGGCGAAGGGTTTCCCTTGCCCCGCGCGGGTCCATTTGTCTTGCTGGAGAAATGTTTTGAAACAAGCGCCCCCGACAATGGGCTTATTCTTAAAATCAAAGTCGATTTGTATTACAGCCATATTTATTTAAAAAAAAAATTACCCTGCAGGTCTGCGCGCACGTAGAACACGGGGGTGAGGGGTGAATCGCAATTTAAACAGCCACGAGCGGTAGTGCAGTGGCTAGCGCATTACGCTTTGAACCTGGTAACCCGAGTTCGTTTCCCGGCCACGGCTAACGTCAGTGATGAAGGATATCTGAGCCGAACCTCAGTCTCCCCCGCTCACACCCCGTCCACCAAGCTGCAACTATTCAGCCGTGGTGAAGTATGGTCAAACGCAAGGCCGTAGCCATGGAGTCAACATTAGGGGGGACCAAATCTTATAGGGGATCTGGGGGGTCCACCCCCCATGAAAATATCTAAATTTGGAAACAAATTTCCTATCATTTCCTGCCTAAAATATGAAAAAATTCACTAACACATGGGATGGACTTCTGATTTATGTTTTACAATAATGTCTAATAGTGTATTGTATTACATTGTTCTGTTTTTTCTTTTTTTACCTTTTCTTGTTTCCTTGTATGAAATGGCAGAGATTAGGGATTAATAAAGTACAACCATAACCACAATCATACAAACAGAAATCTATTTTATAGCGATATATTGGGGGGGGACATTTTGAGCATTTTAAATATTGGGGGGGGGGATGTGTCCCCCCCAAAATATATTATAATTACGGCCTTGGTCAAACGACCCACAAGCTTCACACGACGTGGTGCGGCCTTCCTGAAGCAAGTGCATTGGCGCGTGCCTGCAACTGATCCGATTACTCACTGCGCGTGTGACTGCACGGGAGCGCTACCACGATCCTCATCTCTGTCGTGCCGTGCAAGTTTAAATCGTCACACGCAGGTAGGGCAATCATCGTGCGCTCGCCGTGCAGATGTTGAGGTCGCGCGTAATCATCGTTGTGTAGCCACACGATGACAGCGCTTTGAGTCGTCGCTTAAACGGGCTTTGCGGTTGAGGTGCACGTTACGTCGCTGCGGTGCGGGTGCGTAAGCCGCTCCCGAGGGACGCGGTGTCGATGTTGATTAGCGGCGGCGCCACGCAATCGTGCCGGCGAGCGAGCGGGCGCGCGTCGTGCACACCGCCTTGCGCGCAGGGGCCTCAGCTCTGAATATCTCGCAGGGACTTGGCCTGCACCCGTTGCGGTCACCAGGCCGGGTCGTGTTCTAAAATAGATCTCCGTCACTCGTAGCGCGTGTGTGTGTCTGTGGCGCAGACCACAAAGGCTAAGACAACGATCCCCCGTGTAGCCTTTAACAGACTGTTGGAGCAAGTGGTGTTAGCCGTGCAGCGCTGATGAAGGCACCACTACGACCGTCCGTCTTTGTCTCCCCCAATGCTGATGTTTACACATCACATCGCGTACTCGTTTAAGGCTGAGTCGACATAGCGGGAGTCCCCGGGACCGGTTTTAGATATTCGTCACTGATGTTGGTCACGAGCGAGAATGGATCGTGGCTCCCCCGTGTTCGTTGCGCAGTGCGCTAACCACTACGCCACCGCTCCCCACCGGTGTGTGGTCAGCACCCGCACACAGACTCGTGGCCGTCGGTGCTCACAAACGGCACTCGTCCCCAGGGTCTTTGAAGTTAAGGGAGGGATGTTTATATTTTGGGGGTATGTTTTAAAATAACAAAAATTTTGCCAAGGGGTTGTGTGTGTGTGTCTACTTTCTGTAGGGAATGTTTTTTTTTCTAACAGATGTTTGTTTCAGCGGTAGGTGTATCTGTGTATATCCGTCTAAATAAATATTCTGATTCCGATAAATCAAATGAGCGCACTGCGTGTAGTGTACAGCATATTTCGTTCACATTAATGCATTCGTTTTATAATGCTGCGTTGCGCAAATACTCTGCATTATACATTGAATTATCAATTAATTAAAATTATTTTAAATACCTTAACTGTCATTTCCTATGTAAATATAATTTATTTACTTGACAAATATTTTAGTTTTACCCATTTCACTGCTCCAATATCGTATTACATATCCCACACTAAAAACAACCCTCGTTAATTAATGTGTCATAAAAAATAACTATCCAATATGCAAACAGAGTGTATACACAGAGATGTAGCCTTTCTGTAGGTGAT